TAAAAGTTAGGGTAATTATAAACTTAAAAACCCCAAATCATAAAATTAAGCAATACTTCAGTACGAAAGTGGAAAACTCTAAATAAAAAGAATGCTTAAATGGACAATAAATAAATTATGAATGAGTTGATATAAAAATAAATTGATCAATTAATGCAAACTAAATGTGTAGAATTAAAAGGACAATAATCATACTGAGTTTCCCAAACTCTGAAGTATTTTAGTGATGAAAATAATTAAGATTTAGAGCTAATGCTTATAAGGCCTTCCAGTCAAATTGTTGTCATCGAAGAGTATTTACACCATCTCTACGGGGCTGGGAATTTAGCTCAGTGGCACAGTCCCTGCCTGGCAATTGCAAGGTCGTGAGTTCAGTTCCCAGTACCGGAAAAAAACCAAAAAAAAAAAAAAAAAAAGTATTTACACCATGCCTACAAAATCTTCCCTGGGACTACTGTTTTTCTTTCAAACCCTCTCATCCTTGAAGGTTCTACTTTGTTACATGACTCCAGACCACCAATGCTCTCCTTCTTTAAACTCTAACAGGAATGAAGCTCTGTACTTGCAACTATCAGTTCTGAAGTGTATTTGACCTTGGTAGATTTTCTTAATTTCTCTTCTTTCTCAAACAGACAAGTTTGCTAGCAAGCAAGAGCCACGTCTTGGATTTCTCTATTTGTTCCTACCACGGAGTTCCAGCTCTTTTCACATGTAACACCCTGATGATATACTGAAGCACGGTAATGTTACTAAAGGTAAAAGGAAAGAGAAAGAGAGAGAACAGGGAGAAAAACAGGAAGTAAGAAGCAGGGATGTCTTTCCTTTCTTTTTAGTTGTTCAACCGCTCTGACGCTGTATTTTGTATTTATCCTCTATTTTCTCACAGCCTAGGAAGTATAAACAGTTCCCTAACTATTTTCTCTCTCTGCCTCTTCTGGCTAATTACACCTTAATGAATGCATGCTTGCAAAGACCCATATTAAAGTCATTATTTTTTATGGTCCTACTATGCCACTCACTCCAAAATGGATTTCCCTTCGAATCTGTTCTGTATCTCTGTTGTTGCTGCTATTTTTCCAGTGTATCTTCTTCTCAGGGACATACAGGATAACTCCTGTATTTCCTACATATCATAATTTTAATCTTGAGCGTTTTAAAAGCATCTCTCTAAACAGACAGGAACCCTAATACGTTCCCTTTACATAGGAGACGTGCCATAAATATTAGTTGTATTGTCTGCTAACTTGGCAATGAAATGACTGTTTGACTTTAAAAGACATTTTGGGGGACACTATGGTAGCCAAGTGAATTCAATGTTTTATCCTCTAAGGTAAATGTAACTTTTGGAATAATCTTGAGTCTGGGCAAGCAAGGTGATGTTAGCTTTCTTGGATGAATGCTATGAGGAGAGGAGGTCTATTTTTGTTGACACAGAAAATTCTGCTGCACAGCTGTAATTAGGGCAAATCAAGATATTAATGATGCATTCTATTCTAGAGCTTTAACTGACTAAGCACCAAGAAATGGCTTTTCAACTTCAAATGCTCTGCAAAACATTTCTTCCTCACTGCGCTCGAAGCACAAAAAGTAAAGGAAGCTCGGTGCACTATTCAGAAAATTCAATATTTATTCAAAGTGTGAATTACTAGATTCTAAGAATATTTCATATTCTCTAAAAGTGCATAAAATCTACCTCTACTAATTAGTTTCCTTATGAAAGCCTTCCAGACAATTATAGGGTAATACTACTGGTCAATGCTTTAGGTGTTTTTCATTAAAGGTATAGTGCCACTACCAGATGAATTGCTTCATATAAAAGCACTTACCACAAAGCCCTGTAATGGAAGGTTAAGTGCTATACTTAATTACTAATTTCAACCCTTATTACCTATATTTTGCAGTGCAAGCACTTTAAAAGGAACCAAATATAGTCTTTGGGTTCCTGCTTCTCTGATTATAGGATTTGGTGGTAAAAGCATTAGTCCTGCTGCTTTTCTAATAAATAATAACCCCCAAAATTTTAAAAATAAAAATAGCTATACCACAGCCTGACATAAAAGACATATCCTTAACTTTGCTACTGAACTTATACAGTATTTAAGATCATTTTCTTTTTAAGAAAACTTCAATCTAGACGGCACACAGTTTTAAATTTATATTCGATTTTTATGGCATTGATGCAGATGAAGCTCTAAGAGAAAATAGTATTTGACATTTCTGTGGCTTATTTCCTGCCTCAGCATGAAGCTGGAATGCCTGCAGAGCAGAGGATTAATAAAGAATTTGATGACAATAGTGATGACTCCTCTGAATTCTTCACATATTGATCAGCAACTTTTTAGATGTAGACATTGAAATTTTTCATACATGCCATTATTTTCTTGTGGGCAGACTTTATTTTTCTTCCTTGCTGTTATCTTTCAAAATAACTGCAACTTTTCTCAGTCTGGATTTATCAGTATTACCTACATATGGCTTGGTGACAGGGTACTTAGGATTTTTGACTAAACATTAAAGGTTGTAGCTAAAAGAGCTATTTCTAAAGATTAACTTCATAGTATGACACAGCCAGCTGTAATATTTAAATATATTTTATACCGTGTTTCTTTATCTATTCAATTGGCAAATGAGAAATTATGTGTAGTAAAATATTAATCTATAAAACTAAAAATATTTCTGCAAGTAGTATTGCTCCAGCCACCGCCCCCCGCCCCAAGCGTTCTAACAGAACATTAGCCTGACACCAATAGGGAGCATGACTTTTTGAGACTGTGCTACCCAGTAGATAGTATTCTGTTTTTTTTTCTTTTGTCTTTTTGAGACAAGTCTCATTATGCAGTTCAGGCTGGACTTGAGCTCACTTTGTAGCTCAGGTTGGCCTTGAACTTGCAAGAATCCTCCTGCCTCAGCCTCCGGAGTGCTGTGATTACAGGTGTGCGGCACCATGCCCGGCTAGTGGATAGTATCTTGTATGTGCAAAGTTACACTATTAGTCACGCAAATTATAGTAAAATTGTGAGGCACAGGAAATTTTAAAACCATGAAATACTTACAAGAATGGATTGATGCATTAGTAAACTACATTTACCTTCCAGAACTTACACTGTGTTTCTCATTTAGAGATGCATTATGCAGATTATCAAAATAAAATCCGTTTTAAACTTGGTTTAACCCAGAAGTTCCCAAACTGATGTAGGTATGTGTTTCCCTTTTCCCTTGTAGTAACCAACAGACTATGGGCAAAGCCTAGACCTTGCACTACCCTGTCCGTCGTGGAGTCAGGCAATGACTTCCTCTCAGCAAACACAGACTAGTTAATGTGTATTTGGGGAAAACTACCAATCTACTTTTCTAAAATTTCACTGAGGACTGGGGATTTAGCTCAGTGGCACAGCGCCTGCTTGGCAAGCCTGAGGTCGTAAGTTCAATTCCCGGTACTGGATAAAATTTCACTGAGGTGACAGTTGTTAAGTTTTAAAAGTACAGTTATACTAGAAGTTCTGTGAACGCAATGGGAAGTATTAGCAAGGGCTGAATAATAGTGCGTGTGTATTTAAATTACTTTCCTTTCAGATCTTTCATGCCTTCATCTTTTGGGAGATAGCACCAGAAGCACTGTGTTCACATACTTGTAAAACTGTGATAATTTCTGGGACACCAATTTGGTGAGTATTTATTAAATGCATATTCTTTGCAAATAGTATAATAGATGGGGCATATTATTAATTTGTTTGCTTTTGAATTTTGTCATATTTTTGCAGTTTTATGGCATTTAATTCAGCAAATATTTAGAGAGCACTTGTCTCAGAGACTACATGGAAACTGGAACCTGAAGGTGTAGAATTAGATAAATCAGAAAAATTGCAGAGAAACCTCAGTGCTATTTCATTCTATAGTAGTGAGTCAGTACTAACAAAAATCGATAGTTATTTAGTACATTCATTATTTTGTGAAATTGTGCCTTCTAAGAAACAAATACTTCTAAAGAGAATTTAATTATATATACTTTTAATTATCATTTTTATTGTAGGGTGAAAATTTATTTTTTTATTTTTTCTTTATACCATGGTATAATTTGTATGCTATACAAAAACATAGTTGGAACAGAGACAGATAAGACTTTTGCTTTTAAGAAGTGATTTTGCTCTAAAACAGGGAGGATAGCTTCTTTCGATTATCTCGATATTTTAAATTTGTACCCTACTTAAAATAAGATACTTATTTTTTAATTGAGAATATGTGCAAGCACAAGTAACCCCGGTTTAAATTTCTAACCTACCACCCTTCTTTCAGTAACGGTACTGAAAAGCTCATTAACAATGAACAAGCTAATTTTACTTCACCAAAATTGGCATGACACTCACTTTGCAGATTTGAAGTGAATAATACTGACACCACAGAAGCCTTGTGAAACTCCAATTATATGAAGGTGAATCAAAAATTTTACAAGTACATATTCTTTTAACTGCTGGCTTCTGACACTGCTGTTGCCCTAAGTGCTGGCTTTTGGCACTATAGTTCCTTGACGATTTCTGTGCTTACCTACTGCTTGCCGCACACCTTTCTTGACTTTGAGCTCTGTACTACCAGGAAAGGAATGTTCAGATCTGACTTTCTCTCAGAAGAAAGAGTGTTATAATAGTGCCTCCCTTAGTTTTAAGTTTTAACTTTGTTACTTTTGACAAAGCCTTTCCTTTGTTCAAATGCAAGGATCCAGTAAAAAGAGTTTTGACACGCTGTGCCTTTTATGTGTGCATTTCTCTGCTTTCATCGAATTTTGCAAGCAATAACGTGTGCCTTCAGGTTTGCCTATGCAATGCCATTTGTACACAGCAGCAAGAACAGTTTAGGACAGCATTACATTCACATGACTTAAAGTCCAAAAACTACTTGCTGGCGTCTCGGAAAAGCACAATTTGGTGAGACAGACGCAGAACAGTGCTTTGTTTTCCAGTTTGTCTCTCATACAACCTTTCCCAGATACGAAGTCCCGCTCTTACCTGCTGGGTAGCGCTCGATCACCGGCCAGCTGTCCACCTGTAACGTGGCATTGCCACCACTCCTCGTGAAACGCACTACATGGTACTTCCCATCATTAATGATTGCATTAGACTCTTCAATGGCGATGTCATCTGTCCCAACATTAAATTTAACTCCAATTTTTCCTTGGTGCTAGAAGAGAGGGTGGGAAACAAGAGTTCTATTACATTGAACTAATTAGCATTTAATGAAAGTCATGTGTGAGGTACTGTTCAATAACCTGCATCAAAAACAGTGGCTTTCCTCTAATTTTATTTCCGAAAAGCCACACGGAGTAAAAGCAAGACTTCTGACATTTGAGTAAACAGGAGACTCTTTCACGGATAGCAGATATCGCAAAAGATGAACTTTCAAGGGAGCTGAGCTGTCTTTTGCCCAGAGGTGGCCAGAGAGAAGGTGCACAGCTGTTTGCATGAAAGGACATCCTTCCATGTCCTTCAGCACAGCTCTTTAATCCATTCTCCCCACTTCATGAGGAAAATCACACTTGAAATCCCCCCTTTTAATACCTGCTGAAATCAAAGCAAGAAGTCTTCTTAGAGGGAACTGAGAAATGCTCACAAAACAGAATCACTACAACAGCAATGGGGCACTGTGACAAGCATTTGCTGAACGCTGTTTCTTAGTCATTATTCACAAAACCATGCAGTTTTACCAGCCTAAATTTTATTTAATTTCTCTATTTTATAAATGATGAAATTGTGATAGAGGAAGCCAAAATGACTTGGTCAAAGTTCCATTTCTTAATAGAGAGATGCATTAGAACTACAATTTAGTTATCTCATTTTTAGATTATATCTAAGCTAAGATGAAGCTAAGATACAATTCTCTAAAATTAACTCCTCTCAATTAAGAACGGTAGCATTATAAATCACTCTACGTGTAAAGTTGTGGTGTTAACATTAGAATGTGATAACACAAGGTGGTAAAGAAAAACACGTGCTTACATCCTCTGCCTCCAAGAAGCATTCTCTAACAGCAGGACCATCAACTCTACCAGGAGCTAAGCTGATTTTTAAAAGCATGTGTATTTGCCCTAATCAGTAGCACACAATACCTGTGCTGCAGGCCCTTGTCAGAGCACATAACCTCACACTGACTGCAGCTCACCTTTCATCAGCCGTGGTGGAGAGAAATGACATAAGGGGACGAGGGGCTTAAAAGACACCCAGCCCGTCCATTCCTGCAGGAATTTTAAATCAGTATATTAGAAGCCAGAAGGCTGGGACCCTATTATCTGGGCCTTCTTCTGGGTTCTCATCATTGAGCTCAGCAGCAAGAGGGCGGCATCAGCTTACACTGAAAAGGCATAAAAATAGTCTCCTATCAAACTGCATTAATTGAAGGGAAGTGTTCAAAATGTTATTTTTCACAATGCTAATTATCCCCTTGGTGCACAACCCTAAAAGTTTCCCCCTTTTCCCCTGTGATTTTCATTTTCCTCACAGATATCTTTCTTAGAAGAAAGTAGGGTTGTTTTTTAATTTTGACTTGTTTTAAGTTTGATGGCTCATGTGACTATAAAATATTATATTTGTACTTTGACACTATCTATGTATTTGTTAAAGCAAGGTAACATCAGATCTCTCAAATGAGACTCTTAAGATTTCCTGTGGAATATATGTGTGTATATATACATATATATATGTATATATACACACACACACACACATATATATATCATAATTTATTGAAAGTGAACCAATAGGAATTCGGCTAAAATGAGAAAATAATGCATGTTCACAGATCTGAGGTAAAAATGATTAAAAGTAAAAAAAGTCTCCATAACTCCTCAGACAAATTTCCATTTTTATTAGAAATTTCTTATTTATCACCTGAATCATTCTACAAAAACTGAAATGTCTTACGACACATGTATTAAAAAGTAAAGATAATGAGCAAGACAGTGGGAGGAAAAACTCCAAGAGAAACAATAGATCAAGTCTATGCAACTCTTAAAATTGCCTTCCTTCGCTTTGAGTTACCTAGCAACCATACAGGTCTACCGCACTCTCATCACGTTGTAAACACTGCGGTATCCCTCGGGCCAGTCCCCTGATGGAGCTGCTGTTTCCTCTCCTATTACACCTGAAGTCGCAGAGGCAGGGTGACCAAGGAACTTGGCCCTGGTTGCACAGCTAGAGAAGGAAGAGCCGTGATTCAGACCCAGGGAATTTGGCTCCAGAGTCTGTGCAGTCAATCATTTCAGTGGCTGTAGTTATGATTCTTGGGTTGTCCAACAGGTGCAGCTAGATATTTGACAAAACCAGCTGTTCTCTGCTACCTGTTTTGTCTCTTCTACAAAAGTAGAAGCACCGTGGGGCCTTGTATTGTTTTGAAATTAATAAATATGTATTAATTGCTGTGTGATTAAAATAATTTTATAACAGATAGTAAGAAAATTAATGTATGAATATAATAAGATGATAAAATGGATTCTCTTTTTTTTTAGCTGAGATCTAGGATGAGATAACCAGTCAAAGACACTGTCATTTCCATTTTATAAAATGAAGTACAAAATATAAACCAGACCTAACAGTATGCTTAGTGTACCAAAGACCAAGAGATGATTGATAGCTATAATAGGATTTTGGGAGATAGTCATGATGTGATGGGATTTGCACATAACTCCAAGGTAGAAGGTCACGTTCCCTTTATCCCAAGTGCAGGGGAAAGGGACTTCAGAGAGACAGCTCAGAAAACTTGGCAAGATCTTCTGGAATTTGGTAGCAGCGGTTGAGGTGATCAGCAACCAGGGATTTGACTATGTCTGAGAAATCTTCTAGCGGGGAACACCGTGGCTGCCTGAGGGGCCAAACAAAGACATATTACCCTGCAGAGGCCACCCACCCACGACTGTCTGTTAGGCCGAGAATGTGTGAGCGTTACCGTGAACCAGGTGTCAGAGCCAGCACAGAATCGTGTGGTGTCCTGTGCCCTGTACAGTGCGGCCAGGGACGAGAAGACCGGGTGGTCAGTAACACAACAGCAAGCCCTTGTTCGTGCCGCACGGATGCCCAGGGCTGGAGGCAGGAACTCTGAATGACCATCTGCAAGAGGTACATTAACCCGGCTCTGAAGAATCTCAAGTCAGGGAATTCCTATGATGTGGTGAAGTACTCTAAAGAGGGCTTCAGTGCCTCCAAAAAGTGCTCGCTCAGAAGCTGCAAGCACAGGCTAAGCCCAGCTAGTCTTAGCCAAGCACGCTCACTTCTGCTCCTGATCTCTTCTGACTTCTCCTGTCTCATGCCTGAAGAATGCAGGGTGGAGAGAGAAATGAGAGTTGTGGAGATAGTAGAGAAGCTAATCATGTTGCCGCCTCGGGAAGGTGGGATCTCCAGTGTGGACCAAGCAGGAGTAATGGAGAGGATTTTAACTGAGGTTGTAGGATGCATTAGTAGGGAGGAGCGAACAAAATCACTTTTGATAGTAAACATGAACAGATAACCTCCTTTACAACCCAGGAGTGACCATAGCAGCGTCGAGAACTTCTATGGACTTCACTGGGGTCAGGAAAAAATATTCCTACAAGTGTAAGTTTCGCCGCATCCTAGAAAGCTACTCTTGCAACTTAGCAAGTACATGCAGATGTGTGTGCTCCCACGCTGTCCACTGTTTCAGGGTTTCTTCTAATGCAGAAGGGCTCCGTACCCTGGGAAAGAGACCGAAGACCACTCTGGACATTTCCTACAGAAGGCCTTAATTATCTGTTGTCCTCAGAGCTCTAATTAATAAAACATCCAAGTTCTGTGAATAGAAGTTTTACAATGCTAAAGCCAAAAACAAACATCCCAAACTCAGAATAAATTCCTTTACCTTACCCTTAAATCTTTCTGCTACATGAACTATAAAATACTTATTTCCTAGGGTTCAGAAAGGCCCGGATTTTATAGGGCTTGATTTCTCTCTTGCAATGTATTAAATAAACAGTTAAGAAAAATGAGGATCAATGAAGCTTGAGGTTTCTGACTTTTAAATGATGACTGTCTGTTTCTGGGTATGTGGATCTGTTGCCTCAACCCTCATCTTTGACATCTCACTGTCAAAATTTAAAGAATTAGCTAGAAAAACAGTCAATACCAAATACTATAGTAGATCCAGAAACAGGCCCCACCCTGATAAAGACATTGTCTGTCACACCTGAAATGGCATCAAGGACAAGAAAAGCAGTGTAAGTATAAATGATGTCCAGAGGGTCACATTTTCCTAGGAAAAAATTAAATGTACGTAAAGTACAAGATATTACTATCAAACATATTTATAGGGTCAGTATTTATGATTCTACTCAGAAACTTTAAATATTCTTGAAACACACCCCTCCCATGCTGACAGGATAGCAAGTGATTTCAATTATATAAACAATAAAACCTGCTAAACTTTCTTGCCCATGGATAATTGTAATTTAAAAGAGTTCATTTCAAATTCTCATTCTCTGGGATTAAAAGTGATTGTCTTGGTGAATTCTCATGAATATTGCATTAGCAAAACCAGCAGTCATTTCACTGGACATGCAATGATCTCTCTGTGCTGTATCTCCCTTGAAATGAGTAACTGGCTCCTACCATAATTTCACAAATCTATTATGAGAATATCAGTAATGAGCCATTTATAATTTAATGAAGTCTTTCTATGGATTCATTAAATAAACAGTGACAAAGGTAATTATTGATTTTTTCATGAAAGCTCGTTTCTGAATAAGGATTACAATATTAAACCAACTTAAAAAGGAAACATCACGAAATACCAGGCCGGGAAGGTACTTGAAAGTTGTAGCAAGTGGCACTGCAGTTCGTACACCATCTAATTCCATCTGAAATAGCATATTCATTTGAAGAATATGATTGAACTGAGACTGAGATTTAATGGTATTCTCAATACCCTGGGCATACTTTAAGCAAGGTGCTTGCATGTCATAGATACAGCCATATTCTAATTTATGTGCATATGAGATAGATAAAACAGAATACACATATACAAAGCTTTAGCCTTATGTATGGCACACAGATATGTTACTGAAGATTTTAGTTCATTGCTTTTTCCCCTTTACTCTGGAGTTCTATAGTAGTATTTAGCTCAACTACGTCCAGGAAAAAAGAACAATTAAAAAAAAAAAGTTTTTTTGTCTGTTTGTT